AAAGGAACAAGCCTTGAATTAATTCTCATACAAATATTTCATCCTTAATCAATAACAATGAGTTTATGATAACAATATGTTGGGTTCAGAACGAAAATGCATTAGAACAAAATTATGTCTTTCAGACAAATGGCAGTCCACAAAAGAAAAACAATTTTCCTTTTATTCACATTCATTTACAAGAATATATGTTCAAACTGAAAGGAGGAACAAAACTTCACTTACCATCCCATAGAAAGATTCACAACATGACCTTCTTTTCACCAATGATCCACTTCAATAACCCAAGTAATTTGATTAACAAATATGTCATCTCACTACGTTAACAATGTACATTCATATTCTTACACGTGGTAGGACAACATAAGCAACACCTCATTCTTACTACATTTCCCTCAAGACACTAAATACAAATTGGCTTAATACATAATATCATACCAAGTCATTTACCTCTATAATTCAAGATTTCCGATAATATTTTCCTTCGCTAGTATACATATCTCAAGTTCCTCAAAATACACTCTATCTCTACAAATTAACATACTCAACACCACCAACATTCTAGTTAAAATTTCAATTTCCCTGTATCACTAGACTTCCATAAAATTCCACCGAATACTATGTGATCACAGATCATGATACTTGTATTTATTAATATTCCATTTCATCCCTACTCCTAGAATCATAAAATGCACACTGTTAACACATCGCATATCATTCATTAATTACTCCATAACACATAATTTCACATACTTAGTCATAACACACAAGCATACAAGGATATGAGTGGGGCAATTCCTTCATCTCTACTTCTTGTATCAAACCATTCTCAAGTCTCATACTCGTCATTAATCATTATATTTCTCAATTGCCATACACTTCATTGATTCACAACAACCTCAGTTTCCCTAAAATTCCTCCTGGTCTAATTTCACATATAACACAGATAGCAGCTAAGTTTAATCTCTATTCACATCACGTTTCCCCAAACATGCTTATACTTATCAATTTGATTAACCGAAGGACACCGATATTCCACATCTTTCAAAACGTTAGTCTTATATAACCCATTCTCACTTCATAACAATTACCCAATTTTCCTTAGTCACAAATCTCAGTCTATGAAACAAAACATATGAATCTTCTTTTGTTACCTCAGAGTCCATGAGAATTCTCATCCTTAATCTCAATACTCAACGTATTGTACAAGCTCGCATACATCTTTTAAAATGCACATCATATCCTTTCATTACTAGATACGTGCAACTTAAATGCATTCTAGACACTCTAATGCTCAATGGACACGTGTGTGAGATCTTAACTCGTGCTCTGATACCACCTGTCACGTCCCAAACCCGCCCCTAAAAGTTTGGTCCATGACCGGCCTGTACATAGGCCTCAAAACAGAATTTTAAAATAATATTTAACCATCTATGAGGCCTTAGGCGGAAGCAATATCAATAAAAGACAACATCCATTGAGCTTGTCCATATATGATGGTTTAATTAGATTTAAACATTTAAATACATTTCCAAATATACATATACAATTACAGAATTTATATAGATCTCACACACTTACAGCAGATTACTAATTTATATGACTCCCAACAATAAATTAAGGCCCCCACGTGGAGACATACCCCAGGTGACTTGGCAGACAGGCGAACCTTGGTACAACTCTAGTGTCAATCCCCGATGACTCACCTATAGAAATATACATAAAACAGAGTGAGCAAAGCTCAGTGAATAATAGCACTCAAACAATTTAATGATTAAACTTGAGTTGTAATATTTATTACGTATATAAGTGCAGAGGTCATATAATTACTCTTGTCTTGTACACATTTTCAGAACAGCCTTGGCCCCAGTCTTTAAACAGAATGGCTTTAAACCCTTGAACAGAGTGGCATTAAGCCCTTAAAAAGAATGGCATTAAGCCCTTAAACAAGATGGCATTAAGCCCTTAAACAAAATGGCATTAAGCCCTTGTTCATGCATGTATGAACTCAAGAGGTGTCTCGCACAGATTCTAGAGGTGACTCACACTGTAGCACTTAGTTCTGTACAGCACTTTGTTTTATACCAGAAAATACAGATTGGCTGTAAGCGCAGAAAAGACAGATTGGCTGTAAGCCCGGATAATATATGTATGGACCCAAGAGGTGTCTCGCACGGATTCTAGAGGTGACTCACACGGTAGCACTTAGTTCCTTACAACACTTTGTTCTATACTAGCATACAATAGGTCTTACAGATTATACAGAATGGCCATAGACCCAGATATCATCAGAACAGACTAGTTTCAGAGTTATTCAGAGGCACATAGATTCTTTCAATTATTCACATGAGTTAACGTAGTTAATTTGCGTTTAACAGAGTGATCATGATAACTATTAGCAATAAGTAAAGCGTATCTTACAGATTGGCCTTAGGCCCGGATATTAACAAGCAGAGTGATTCCAGAGTCGTATCATCATATGCAGATTCCCCAATCATTTATAAATATTAACGTAATTAACTTCCGAAGGCAGAGCGTTAATAATAATGATTTACAGAAGGCAAATGCATCACTACATTAATAGGGACAGAGCAAGTCACATCATAGCGACCTTGGACCCACTTTTATGCAAAATGACCTTAGGTCCATGTTAATGTCACCGTTTCATCATGTTCGTCAATTCAATTTGAGTACAATATCATTAGTATATATGTCATTCTCGATGACCATATATAAATCATAAGCACGAGACGTATGAATAGCATATCATTACACTACTATTACTCACAGTGATAAGTTTCTGGTAGTAGTGGGACGATATCCTCATCTTGACCTACAAATACAATGCACATAGCAGACAATGAGAATAAAATCAATTTCACTCTTATTCTTTAATCAATAGCCATGGTGGTTCTAAACTCAGTAATCCTCCATGGGTTATAATCTATGCCTCAGAAAATAGGAGTAGTCGATAGATAATGGTTTAAGTGAAGAAATGGTACAAAACTGGCTAATAGAAAGTGGACAGTTGTCACTAATTTGGGCATAACTATTTCTGTTTTTATAATTTGGGAGTGAGACCACCTCCATTGGAAACTAGACTTTCGGGGCTTGATTTTAGGCTCAAGAATCACTCAAAACGGAGTCCGGATGCAAAAGATATGCTTGTTCGAAGTTGGCTGAACAGAGCTGTCTCCCGCACGTGCGTATTACAGATTGGCCTTAAGCCTAGATATTAACAAGCAGAGTGATTCCAGAGTCGTATCATCATATGCAGATTCCCCAATCATTTATAAATATTAACGTAATTAACTTGCGAAGGCAGAGCGTTAATAATAATGATTTACAGAAGGCAAATGCATCACTACATTAATAGGGACAGAGCAAGTCACATCATAGCAACCTTAGACCCACTTTTATGCAAAATGACCTTAGGTCCATGTTAATGTCACCGTTTCATCATGTTCGTCAATTCAGTTTAAGTACAATATCATTAGTATATATGTCATTCTCGATGACCATATATAAATCATAAGCACGAGACATACGAATAGCATATCAGTACACTACTATTACTCATAGTGATAGGTTTCTGGTAGCAGTGGGACGATATCCTCATCTTGACCTACAAACACAATGCACATAGCAGACTATGAGAATAAAATCAATTTCACTCTTATTCTTTAATCAATAGCCATGGTGGTTCTAAACTCAGTAATCCTCCATGGGTTATAATCTATGCCTCAGAAAATAGGAGTAGTCGATAGATAATGGTTTAAGTGAAGAAATGGTACAAAACTGGCTAACAGAAAGTGGACAGTCGTCACTAATTTGGGCATAACTATTTCTGTTTTTATAATTTGGGCGTGAGACCACCTCCATTGGAAACTATACTTTCGGGGCTTGATTTTAGGCTCAAGAATTACTCAAAACGGAGTCCGAATGCAAAAGATATGCTTGTTCGAAGTTGGCTGAACAGAGCTGTCTCCCGCACGTGCGAGAAACAGAGCCGCACGTGCGGGAATGGGGCCGCACGTGCAGGAGAATGTGCTTTTTTAGCAGATTCAACTTTGGTTCTGGGACTATTCGGCCGCACATGCGGGTTTGGGCAATTTGGAGTCCGAAAATGGCTCTTTGTGCTCCAACACTTGGTTCTTCCATTCTTAAGCTTGGTTTCTAATATAAATCACTTAAAAACATATAAAATTGCCCCATAACATGATAATTTAACATCAACCAAATGTATTTTCATCTCAAACAAATCAATCTTTGCTTCAAGGTTTCAAGATTCATGCTTAATCTTTCATGATGTTCAAGGGTCTTAGAACACAACCCACAACCCACAAATTCACTTAATTCTTGCTTGATTTTATTCTTTGGACAATTCATAAGATTGATCCCCAATCATAAACAAACCATAGAACCCAAGGTCTCATTCGTTAAATTGAATTCAATTAAATACATACTTAGAACCTTAACTTAATGGTCTCAAATCTTTCCATATCATCATGATTTCATGAAATTAATGTCTTAAACACAAGGATTTAAGATAAATTATCATACCTTAGTTCAATCTTGGTCTTCCTCTCAATTCTCCTCCATTTCCTCAAACCTCCATGGTTGATTCCCCTTCTCTTTCTTCAATTCCCTTTAATCATCTTCAAACCCCCATGATTGTTGAGTTTTTCTTCAAGAATCTTGGTCTCTGTCCCTCTTTCTCTCTCACGATTCTCTTCTCTTTCTACCTTAGATATTTTTGGCTCAAATATCTTGAGTTCCCAACTCACATAACATGTCTCCATATATATATATACACACACTCAAGTTTTTCACAATAAGGAGGCCCAAACACGCCCTTACAAATCACACAAAACCAAATTTCAATTAAAACTTCCTAGGTGACTCTAAAAATTGTGCAGATCATAAATATGTCCTCTGTTTTGGTTTCTGAAGCCTCTAAGGCCTTCAATTGGCAGTATTAAGTTAACCATCCAAACGTACATTGGTGATGACGAGTCAGTGTCTGATGATTTTCCAAGATAATCTAGAATCTGGATTGAAATATATAAAATATATATATAAACCACAAAAATTAAATTATAGTAATGGAAAATGAAAGGGAAAATGTTCAATAAAAAAGTGACAAATTTAATAGCTATTAGAGAAATAAATAATGAGAAGTGAATTTAATAGCCATTGGAAATATACTGCACTTGTTAATCTGTTTTCAGGTGCCAAGTTGTTCACGCCTGCGAACTGAAGGTAGACATCAAGCAAGTTCTACTAGGGTTTTCCGAAAATTCTTCAACATGGTAGGGGGATTTTTGTAAAATGGAAAGACAAGTGGAGTAGGGTACGGTAGATTCCACCAAAACCCAACCCTGCACCAAACCCAGATTGCATTCATGACCTTCACTTCGAACCCAGAACCCACTTAACCTGTTTACTTGCTCCCAAATTTTTCCCACTATGGATAGGGCATGTTACCCAAAAAAAAAAAAGAAAAAAAAAATGAACTTCACTATATAAAAAATAATAATATAAAAGCTTTGTGAGAGAAAGAGAGAGAGAGTTCAATTATAAACTTGAATTTATTGAGCTCCTATATATTCTATCATTTCCATAGAGCTATAGTTCTTGAGTTTGAAGGGTACAAAATTTTATCCTTGTTCTTACTTTTCCACTTTACAAGAACGAAAATGAGAGAAATGAAGAAGGCACACAGTAAAGAAACCAGTCATGAAGATTATCCAATATGCAAAGATCATAACTGCTAAATATTAAATTATAAAACTACAAATGGAAACTTTAATCAAGGTATGTGAGAGGGCTAGGCTATGTTACAAAGATATAGTCAAGGATTAAAATTTCAGTTGGATATTGTTGTCTTTTTTAGCATGGAAATCTATGAAGCATGGACAACTCTCCGAAGCCTCCGTACCAGTGTCAGACACGTCTCGGACACACGGTGGACACGCATCGGACACGCGGTGGACACATGTCCGACACGCAATGGACGCGTGTCCGACACGCAACAGAGAGTGTCCCTTTTTTTTTTTTTGGTAGCCGGACACGTTCTGAAACTTTCGGGACACGTTTGGGGTCCATTTCATAATTTATTAAACTTTTTTGGGTTGATTTGTAAAAACACAAATATAAAACAAAATCAGTCCTGAATCGAGAAAGAGCGAAAGAAGATAACAAAAGAGAAAGACAGAAAGAAAGAAGAGAATAGAAGAGAATGAGAGAAGACCTGGTCACTTGTCGTCGCCGTCGCTTCTCGTCCGTCGCTCCTCGCTCGTTATCTAAGGTACATCGCTGCTTTTCTTCATTCTTCTTCTTCTTCTACTTTGATCATCTCAATCGCTGTCTCTGTCTCTGTCTGTCTATCTCTCTCTCTCTCTCTCAGTCACCCTCTTTGTCTCATTTTTTTTTCTTTTATTTTATTTCTTCGTTTATATGGTGAGTGATTGACTACCGTCTCTCTCTGTCTCTCTCTCTTCTATTTTTTTTTCCTAATTTCATTTTATATTTTCTTTTTTCTCTCTGTGGGTATATATCTATTTTTTTTCCCTAATTTCATTTTATATTTTCTTTTTTTTTTTTGTGGGTATATATCTATTTTTTTCCCTAATTTCATTTTATATTTTCTTTTTTCTCTCTGTGGGTATATATCTATTTTTTTCCCTAATTTCATTTTATATTTTCTTTTTTCTCTCTGTGGGTATATATCTATTTTTTTCCCTAATTTCATTTTATATTTTCTTTTTTCTCTCTATGAGTATATAATTTTTTTTTGTTTCTGTCTCAATTTTTTTTCTTTTTTTTTTTATTATCTCTGTCTCATTTTTTTTGTTTGTTTTTAGTATATATATTTTTTTTGTTGATTAATTTTGTAAATTTTAATAATGTGTGTATTAATTTTGATTATAGGAACCAGTTTTAATGATTTTTTTAATAATTTTATGATATATAATAAATAAAATTAATTATATATATTGAACGTATCCCCAGCGTGTCGTGTCCTCCATTTTTTAAAAATTTGCATGTCGACATGTCCGTGTCGTGTCGCGTGTCCGTTTCCATGCTTCATGGATGGAAATATAACATTTTTTAATGTTTCAAAATGTTGAAAAATATGAAAGAAGCAACCAAAGGGATAAAGGTTGGTGCAAACAATATCTTCTTTCTTATTAAATAAACAAAATTAAAAGAAAAGAAGAAAATAATAAATAACATTTATGAAAGATTCTAGTTTCACATCAACACAATTTTCACTGTTTTGGTGTGTTTCACTATGCTCCAGTGTGTGTTGATGGAAACACTAAAACATCAATATTTCTTTCGTCTTTTTTTTTTATATATAATAAATACTAAAACATCAATATTTCACTAGTATTTCATTCTAGTTCCCCTCAAAACAAAAACATTTCAACTATTCCAACGGAAAAAAACTGAAATTTTGTTCCATGGATAAAATAAACTACATAAATTTGGATTACCTCATGCTCCAAGCTGAGAGACAACTTCTTATCACTTCCTGTATGTTTGCCTAGGAAAAAGCACAAAATAAACGAAATATGTGTCAACTCAACATTTAACAAATGAGGGGGGCAGATGACGCAAAAAAGACGAATTAGAAGTTGTCTTACAAGAGTAAGCTTCAAGGCATCCTTTGATGGTACGCTCTCCAAGATTTACATGACTTAAGAAATCACTTATACTGGATGACATGACAAATTACTACTTACTATACAAAAGAAACTGAACGAAAGTAACAAAAAAATTAAAAGAAAAAAAAATGATAAGAGCATAATACTGATCAAACCGCATGAGGGACTGTACCCAATCAAGTGTATTAGCATGCTTCTGCTTAAGATAGAAAGTTTAACAATTACCAATCAAGAGGAGTGTATTCCAAATACTTCATGATCAGTGTATCAAATGAAAACAATGACGAGAATATGGATGGTGCCAATCTGTACTAAAGATCTTCTCAAAGGTTCTGCATTCAAAATAAAAACCCCTGAGTTCAAAATCATACGCTTTTGCAAGTTGTGAAAGTCAAACAAAACACTGAATCAAATTGGCCAAACCTATTAGTTTTAAATTCCCAGAAACTGAACAATAAACACGCCACATTGGCCCCGTTTGGTGTAGCTGTTAAAACTGCATATAAATTATAGCTTAACAAATTATAGATTATGACTTTAATCAGAAGTTGTTAATCTGTTTGGTGTAGCTGTTGGATTATAGATTTAAGTTGTTGAGTAGTGTTTTGTTAAATAAGCTGTGAAATAGTTTTTTCAATTAATTTTTATTTTTTGTTTGTCTACATTTCTCATAAAAAATAATAATAATAATCTATAGTCCATTTGGATCTTTTTCTATTTTTAAATAAATAAAAAATAAAAAAATCTAAGAGTATAACCATAAATTAACATGTCCACAGTATAAGCTGATAATCAGAAGCAAGGGGTGAGCAGCTTCTCAGAATCAGCTTTTTTGAGTTAAAATAAACTATTAGAATTAGAAGCTGTTTGAAATAAGTTCAACCAAACAGTCCAAAATAACTTTTTCAAAACTAAAAGCTATAAGTTAGCTTTGAAAAGCTGAAACAAACACCCCCATTATGTGAATACATTTATGAAGTATGGAGTGAACTTTAACTAGTTAAAAAGTGCAATAATCTCAATATTATGGGGACTGTTTTGCGCAGGATATTTGAGCTGTTTTTAAAAATTTTATTCTGAAGTTTGTGCTAGACTGTTTCCTGCAGCATCTGCTTACAATTTATTAGGCAAAAATAGCTTAAATAAGCTTTAAAAAAAAAATTATTATATAGAAGTTGGAGGATGGGTGTTTTTGGCTTTTTCTTTTTGATTATCAGCTTGCAGCTTACAATAAATTGCACCAAACAGGCCCTATACGTCAGTTCCTAATGCTTTCTCTTAATAACACCCCCACTCTCTACTTGAAAGAATCAAGTATGCTACCTGTGCTTTTATCAAACACACTTGTAAACAGCAACAAGTAGTTTTTCAAGAACTTCTTCTTATGTGGCATCCATCTAAACAACCACAGGCTAAGTTAAATATTCTAGGCTTCATGAACAAGGATGATACAGTTGATGTTTTTATTATTTAAAGATATGAGCAATGCTACACAATACTCACATTTGGTAATTCTTTTGAGATCTCTAGCATTTTTGTAAAGATATCTATTATCTTAAGCCATAGTACAAAACAATCTTGAAAAATTTCTATTAGCTTATGCAATATCTATCAACTCATTCAAGGAGTAAGTTAAAAATCCATGCTCTTATCAAGGCAGAAATGTGGCCTTTATAAAATTGAATTATGTTATGAGGCAAGTAGCAGACAAGCAGTCAATGAACTTTCTCTACAACTATAGTTACACATACAAAGAAGCTCCTAGAGAAATTCTTTGACAATCTCGTTTTTTCAGCATGACTCCTTGAGGAAATAATTTATTTTAGCAGGTGGTATCCAACAAAGAAGCCATATTTTTCCTTTTCTTACCAATTCCACCAAACAACTACTTGGCTCTTTCAAGGAGATTACAGAGGAGTTAGTGGTAGAGGAGGCTTTCTATAACACCCATAGGCCACGTTGTAGGATGAAACCTTAATGAACACATTAAAATCACCTACAATCAAGAAAAAGAGCTACAAAGCATGGACACTTCTAAGGTGGTGTGTTCGTGTCAAAAATGTGTTAGACATTGACACTCATCAAACATTTCCCGACACATGTTAGACACAAGTCCAAATGAAATGTGTCATATATATATATATATATATATTTGACCCGAACACGCTTTGGACACTTGGGCGACACATATGACCATTGCTTAACACACATGAAACGCATTATAAGTTTGGCCAAAATGACTTAGAAATACAATGATGAAAGAAAAACAATATAGATTTATACTTATTAATCCATCCTTTAAACTTCAGAAATTATTGTTATGTTGTATCTTTTTAGTAGCTTTGGAAGAAATATCCATATATTTTGGACACTTGGGCGACACATATGACCATTGCTTAACACATGAAACGCATTATAAGTTTGGCCAAAATGACTTAGAAAATTAGACAAGTTGGATTTCCAATTAATTTTCTCAAATAGTTCTAAAAATTTCGATTAACATACCCAAGTACTCAATTGTGATTTTTGAACCCGTAAAGGTTAGTAATTTCAATTTTAAAGCCGTGGCTCAATAGATAATTCCTCAATTTGAACAGATATCATTAAATTAAGATGCCTTAACCCATAAGGCCATAAGGGTAATCTCTAATATGAATTTTGGGGTCGTTACAATTTAAATATAATTGAGGCCTAAAGCGGAAGCAAAACAAAAGATAATAATGTCCATTAAGATATGCGTACATGATCAACCATAGTAATTAAAACATTTTTAATTCACTTTTATATATACATGTATGAAGGCATATTTTATAATGTATCTCACACACTGTATGGATAACTTTTAACAAAACACAAAGTTTAACTCAAGCTTGACAAAATAAAATAAAGCCTCTACACAGAGGTACTTCTTGGGTGGGTTGACAAAGAGGCAGACTCTGGGGCAAACTCTAATCTTAATCCTCCAATTGCTCACCTATATATATATATATAAAGAGCGAGCTAACGCCCAGTGAATAATACCAAAGTAAAGAAGTTGTATGAGTGAGATTCTTAATTAAGTAAATCACATTAATACACATTACATGTAAATCAAAATCAGGATGACCTCAGGTCCAATTCATCATGCTCAAGACATACCAGAGGGGGCAAAACGACCTCGCGTCCAAAATACTTTTCTAATTATATTATATGTTCATATTCATATCTACGTGCATATTCATATCCGTGATCATGACAACATTTTTATTCAGTTGGCCTTTGGCCCATTACATTCATATTCAAACGGCCTTCGGCCCATCACAATATTCAAACGGCCTTCAACCCCATCATAACATTTAAACGGCCTTTGGCCCATCATAATATTCAAACGGCCTTTGGCACATCATAATAATCAAATGGCCTTTGGCCCATCACGATATTCAAATGGCCTTCAGCCCGTCAGAACATTCAAATGGCTATCATAATATTTAAACGGCCTTTGGCCCATTGCATTCGTATTTAGACGACCTTGGGCCCATCATATATTATTCAAACGGCCTTTGGCCCATTTATCAAATGACAAATGCCCTTAGGCCCAATTTAGACATATCAAACGTATTAAACGCCCTCAGGCCCAATTCATACTCGTATCACAAATCAAATGGCCTTGGGCCCAAATCATGTTCTTCACAAAGTCTTATACAAAAATTAGGCATATAGAATACTCATTCGTTATGCAACTCAATAATTCCATGAAACTTATACAAAAGTAGCATTTGGAATATAACATACTTGAAAATATTTTTACTAAGATATTACTCACAGTGTTAAGATGCTTGGTTAACTTTGTAGTTGACCCTACACAATTCATAATACACATAGAAGTCGGATCACAATACAATTCATTCCGTTCTTAACTTGTTTAGTTCTCTTAGGCTTCTTTCTTACTTTTTTAATTCATTTATAATGCTCAATATATGCCTAAGAGAGTACTTAGAAATAAAAGAGAACGGAAATCGGAATATGAAATAGCTTTTCAAAATTTTCTAAAACAAGGCTCTTCACTCAAGCGCAACATTGGTCACTCGAGCGGACCCCTTGGTCTACAAAAATACTGGTAGCTTGCATTCTTTGCTCGAGCGACAACTTTTTCACTAGAGCGATGTTGACGAATTCTGGGTTTTCCAAAATGCTGTTTAAACTTCAAAACACAACTTTAAATGATACAACTTACATGATTTGTTCTATATGTCAACCATACAACTTCTAACATAACATAATGCCAATTTTACAAAATGTGAAGCTCAAATCTCCAAGGATTCATCATACAAGCCCAAATTATTTCAAATTCATTTCCATAACTTCAAAACTCATGCACATGAATTCTATATTTTCATGGATTGTGCATGCATGTGAAATGTAGACTCTAATTTCATCTAAAAATGGTAGAAATGACTCTCAAATTCATGAGATTCAACAAAATTATGTATGCCCGTGTGATTTGGTGCCAAATTCTCCTTGATTCAAAAATCATCTTTCAATTCTTTCTTTATTTCATGAAACATAAATTGAAGCTATAAAACCCTTTCAAAATTAATTGCATGTATGAAATTTAAATCAAAAGCAAACTAATTTTTTATTCTCTAATATAAATTATAATTCATCTCCAAATTTGTCCAAATTTAAATTTAATTCATTTTCTTCATATCAAGCCCAATTTCAAATCCACAAATTCTAGAACATGAATTGAACTTTCATAATATAATCTCAAAACTTGGGTTCATACATGGCTTGCCTAAAACCACACAAACTCTTAATTAATCTTGAAAATATGATCAATTTTAAATCATTTACATCAAAACTCCTTTAATTTAAAATCTATGATGCATGTACAATTAGAGTATTAAGACTTGTAGGATTGTCCATGCATGTAGAAATTAGACTCAATTCATGAATAATATTCTAAAATCAAATCCAAAATAATTAATTTCTAAATTAATTTTTATAAATTTGAACCTATCTCCATTGCATGGATCAAATCTTCAAATAAATCTTGTTGCATGTAATTTATGGGACTCAATTCAAGAATAATTCCCAAAATTAAACTCAAATTTAAAGAACCACAACGCATATTTTTCAACCTAATTTGATTGAACATGCAAGACTCAATTTCTATGAATTTATATAATTAATTCTCAAATCTCTATTTTAATTTTCTCAAATCCACCCTCAATAAATTTTTGTCTAGATTAATTAAACAACGCTAGAAAGAGGATGGAATTTCTTACAATAAAATGAAGGGAGCATTTTTTATAAATCCATTTTCTAAGAGCTTTATTCCATCCAATCCATA